CCAGACTTCGTCTCAGCTACTTTGGTCATGTTGTAAGAAGAGACCATTCTCTGGAGAGGATATCCAGGTAAAGTGGAGGGTCAGCAAAGGAGGGAAAGGCTCTCAACAAGATGGATTGACACAGTGGCTACGACGATGGGCTCGGGTATCGTAGGGATCATGGAGCTGGCGTGGGGTGGGGTGGTGTTTCATTCTGCTGTACATAGTGTCGCTATGAGTTGGAGACAACTTGACGGTACCTAACAACAAGACCATAAGTACTTGGTATCCCTTTTGTCTGCATAAGAACCCTGGGAAGTAGGAGTGCAAGTACAATTACCTTCTCTTTACAGCTGGAGTGAGACCCAGGGGCCATATAGACACTGGACCTGAGACTGGAGCACTAGGCCCTGGACTCCTGGTTCAGTGCAGTTCCACAGCAGGCCTCGGCCACAGGGTTGGTGAGCTTTAATTTATCGGGACAGTAGTATCTCCAGGAGATCTAGTCTTAGAATTTATCATTTGCTTGGCTTTGAATGCAGTGTCTTTCTCCCCTTTCCTATTTTAAATTGGGTTTCCCCCAAAGCAGACACTGAGACAGATTGGACTGTAAGTTTTTTGGTGGCACCAGTAGGAGCGTGAGAAAGTGATGTAGGGAATAAAAGCAATCCTACTAAAGATGTATAATTGAACAAGTTATTTCTTTCCACAACTGGAGCTCATTCCTGCTGAGGCACCTGGGGAGATAATGTGGAGAACATCCCAGAGTTGTCCTCTCACTGTTCATGGAGGAGGGAACTAGGGCGTTTACCCCTGACAGTTAAAGGTTGAGAGCTGATCCCCCAGGAGTGTTAATTCTTCTACAACTTCCAGCATGCCCCCAGAGGGAAGACCATTGTTAAGTATGCCTGGGACTGGACAGTGCTAAGGCACTGTGGTATGATCTCTTGCTGTATAACCAATATCACAAATTTTAGCAATTTGAAACAATACATTTTTTTTTATTGTAACTTGGGTGAAAATTTACAGAGCAAATTCACACTTTCCATATAGCAGTTCACATACTTTGTCTCATGACATTGACTGCAATTTACAACAATGCAACAGCTCCCCTCCCACTTCCTCCCTATAGTTACCTCTTCCCTGTGTCCATCCCTCCATGCACTCCTGCCCTCCAGCTGTCTTCCTGTGCATAAGTAGCCCTTCTTTCTCCCATGATTGTTCTCTCCAAGGAGTGTATCTACCTCAGGTAAATGTTCAACTCATATGCCTGGAGGCCACAGGTGTGGGTTCAATTCCTGACCTGAAGGGCAGCTAGGGGCCCTAGTCTCAGTGGTTCCACCAGACTCTATCAGACCAGCAAACCTGGTTCTCCCCACCCTTTTTTTTCCCCAAATGATTTTGAGTTTTGTTCCACATTGTTCTCCCTCTCTATCCAGGATCTCCTACATAGATTCCCCTCTGAATGGTTGACAGTGGTAGTCAGGTACCATCTTGTTCTTCTGGTCTCATAGTCATATAGGCTGTGGATTGCAGAAACAATACATTTATTATCTCACAGCTTCTGTGGGATATGAGTTATCTGGGCATGGCTTAATCAAGCCCTGTGCTTCAAGGTGTCTTACAAGCAGAAATTGAGGTATTGATGAGGCCTTGGGTCTCATCTGGGAAGGAAACTGCTTGTAAGCTTATGTGGCTGTTGGCAGAATTCATTTCCTCTAGGACTTTTGGACTGAGGGCCTCAGTTTCTAGCTGGCTATTGGCTGGAGGTTTGCCCTCAGTTTCTATCTTGCCACATAGGTCTTTGCAACATGACTACTTAAAGTGTGCAAAGTAAGAAAGGGATAGAATGAGTTTGCTAGCAAGATGAAAAATCTTAAGTAATTTAATCACACCTTTGCTGTACTTTAAGAAGCAAGTGATAGGTCATCTGGCACCTAAGGGGAGGGGATTACACAATGGTGTGAATGCCAGGAGATGGGGACCATTTTAGAAGCTGCCTAGCACAACCATTGCCAAAGTCTGCTAACTGCCATCTGTTCTCTTTACAAGTCATTACTGGCTAGAAAAATTTTTGTCAAAAGACTTGAGGATGAGAAATGATTTTATTGCAAATCAGTCAGAAAACCTAATTTTAAACTTCCTATTTGGCCACTGGTATCTAGACAAATGTGATTTTGCAGGGCCTGACATGGAGTCTCCTGTGCTTTTCTGTCCCTATTTAAGACCAAGCATCTGGGATTTTCAGCAGCAGAAACTCTGAATTCTTATGTTCTTTCAGTGACAGCCTGTGAAGCCAATGACAGTTGTAACTCCTTTTGCTGAATTTCAAAGTAAATTGGAATAAGAGAGAGAACCTCAGGAACTTTAACTAAAATTTTATATGGTCTATAACTCATTGCCATCAAATTGCTTCCGACTCATAGTGAGCCCCGTTGGGTTTCCAAGGCTGTAAATCTGTACAGAAGTAGATTGCGTCATCTTCCTCCCTCAGAGCAGCTGGTAGATTTGAACCATTGACCCTCTAGTTAGCAGCCAAATACCTTACCCACTGTGTCACCAGAGCTCCTTTATACGATCTATGGACATGGAAATTCAAAGAAGTTTTGTTTCTCGTCAGACATTTGATCAATTCCTAAAACCACAGGATGTTGCCAGTCTTAGCACTTGTTATATACTAAGATGGTGTCTGGGAGAAGCTGGATTGATAATATATATTTTAAAATTCTGGGATGGCTAGAGGAAGCGTCAGTCTTTTGGGGAAAGCATGTATAATGCAGCCATGCCAATTACTTGTAGTGGTTCTACTTTTTAAAGTATATCTTGTCCTCCCTGACAGGCTGTATATACAGTGTAGTGGTTAGGGTCCACAAGCTCTGGAGCCAAAGTGCTTGAGTTTGAATCCTGGGTCTGCCATTCACTAGATGTGTGCCTTTGGGCAAGTTACCTAACCTCTCTGTGCCTTAATTCCTTCATTTCTAAAATGGGAATAATAGTGTCATCCTTAGAGTTCTTGTAGGGATTGAGTAAACATGCATGTAAAGTCCTCAGAACAGTCCCAGGAGCTAAGAGTCTGCTATTATTAATTGAAGAAAATGGAAAAATGCACCAGGAAGAGAAATTTTTGAGTCATTGAAAATGACCAAAGGGATTTATGAAACCTGATATATTTGGACTAAACAAAAATATTCTTTTTGGGTTCAATTTTGGAGGAGAGCCCACCGGACCTGTGATTTCAGGGCTCTAAAAAAGGGTTTCCTGACTTCCCAGATATCATTGTTCCTTGGCACCAATAGTGAAGTGTCTCAATAAACACATCACTTCCTGGCTTAGCCAAAGAGATTGCAGGTCCCGGGGCCTGAGAGGGAGAAGGGACGTCACTGTGTGGGGCTGAATTTATTGTGACTCTTCTAGCAGGTGTTTTTTGACAGGATGGTAGGGATATAGTGCTTGTAAACTCAGTAATTCTGAAGAAGGAGCGGGAATAAGTGAGAAGCTCTGAGTGTGGAAACAAAAAACCAAACTCTCTGCCTTCAAGTTGATGCTGACTCATAGAGACCCCTCCTTGGGTTTCTGAGGCAGTATCTCTAAAGAAGTAGACTGCCCAGTCTTCCTTCCGAGGAGTGGCTGGTGTGTTTGAACAGCCAGCCTTCTGGTTAACAGTCAAATGCCTTAGGCACTATGATCAGAGCTGCCCTGAGTGTAGGAGGGTGCAAAATGGATGTTGAAGGAGCTAGAGCAGGAGGACAAACTTTACCCTGGCATCTGAAATGGAATGCCTGATTGGCTGTTGTGGTGGGCTTTCTCTTTTTTTCTAACAGCTAGCATAGTCTGAGGCCTTTCTTAAAGGATTCACTTATTGAAAATAGCTATTCCTAGACTCACTCTAGAGATCCTGATTCCCCAGAAGTACTGTGGTGGGGTCCAGTGATTTTTTTGGGGGTGATCTGAGGGCAGTGGTACTCCAGAACCTAAAAGGAGCAGAGGGACCACTATCTGGTTGCAGGTCAGTGACCAGTTCTCTGGAAGCTATATTTGCCCATTAACCAAAAACAACAAAACAAAACAAAACAAACCCAAACTCACTGCAGTAGAGTCTGATCCAACTTAGAGCCCCGACTGCTAACCAGAAGGCTGGCAGTTCAAACCCACCAGCCACTCCTCGGAAGTAAGACTGGGCAATTTACTTCTGTAGTGATACTGTCTTGGAAACAAAAGGAGGGGTCACTAGGAGTCAAAATCGACTCAATGGCAGTGAATTAATTGCCCATTAAGCACATTTAAAGAGCATTTAGAATGAATGTTGATTTAGGGGAGGTTTGGGAGCAAGTGAAGATGAACCAGTTGCGATGGAATCAGTTCTGATTCATGGGGCCCCCATGTGTGTCAGCACTGAACTGTGCTCCACAGGGTTCTCAATGCTTATTTTTCTGTAACAGAGCACCAGGCCTTTGTTTCTAGGTGCCTTTAGATGTACTTGAACAGCCAACCCTTTAGTTAGTACTCGAGCCCTTAACCATTTGTATCACTCAGCCAGACCTGGTGGAGATTATGGATTTAAAATCTCAAGCTATCCCTTGATGTCTCTACCCTCTGAGGGCCATGTGTTGAGAAATGCTGTCAGAAAGTATTAGAAACGAAAAGTGCCTTAGGTGCACTGTCCTTTTACAGATAAAGATAATGGGGGTGCAGTTAATGGCAGATCTGGGACTGCAACCAAGTATCTCGGTTTCCCATCCAGTTCTCCACTAACTACACACTTGTTCCCTCTGGAGTGGGATGGGGTGGGGAGGTCAGGGGAAAAAGTGAGGATTGGAGGCAGCTGGATAGCACCTACATTTTGTTCTAGTTGAAAACTGAGACAAAATTAGGAATAATTTTGGGTTTGAACTTAAACAATAGCTATTAAAATCACTAATAAGAGTTATCATCTAAAGACAAACTGTACTTGCCAGATAAAAAAGATTGGAAGTGAAAAGGTGCCCCCCCCCCCTCTTTTTTTTTTTTTTTTAATCCCAAAGAGGTTAAATCCTCTAAGGGAGTTCACGTTTCTGATTTTCTTCCAACAAACAAAATACTCAGATAAGTTTTCGGCTGTTAGGGACAGTTTGCATTTCCCGAGTGGGATAAATGTGGGCAGAGAGCCTGGGCGTGACAGCAGGCGAGCTGCCCGCGCGCGGCCCGGGCCGGGACTGCGGCAGGCAGCGCGGGACGGCCAACACTGCGGGCGGCGGGTACTGCAGCACAGCTTCCCTCCCGGCGGCGGGCCTAGCGGCCCGCTAGGGGGGGCCCTGTGGGCACCGGGAAGCGTCCTTTTGTCAGAGCACGCGGCGAAGAGAGCGCTCATTTCCTTTCAGCCTCGTGCGGGAAATGGATTTAATTCTGGTGGCAGGGCTGTAAGGGAGGAGCTGGAGCGAAAACCTTTGTCAAGGAACGGCAGCTTCTGTTGTCTGTAATTACCACTGACGCGGAGAAGCTGCACTGCTGGTGGAATTTCAGGCAGATGTGGGTAGAGCAACCCTTTCTGCCGCTATGACAAGTATGGGGCTGCAGCATGGGTAGAAAACATTTCCCTGCAGATTAGCTGGGTGGATTTATTAAGCGGATCAAAACAAAAATCCCACAGTGGAAGACCAGAGATGGATAAACTCTCGCACAAGAGGTAAGACCGTTTCGGGAAAGTGGCTTGCCTTGGTTTTGTTTATTTTAATGAAATTTCAGAATCCTACAGTCTCCTTCCGCTGGAAAGGGGTGAGGGCGTGCAAGGGGTAGGGAGCTGGCTTGTCCGGATAAGTGAAGGTCTGTTTTTATGTGCATCTGCGATGCAGCCCTTCCCTGCATGGTGTATGTTAAGCCTAAAGGTTTCTGTTGATGATATAACATTGCAGGGTCTTTGGAAATTGGGGTTGCCGAGCGCTGGCCTCTGCATGGGGACAGTCGGACCGGTTCACATTGAGAATGACGTCTGGCAGGTGGGGCTTTCTTCTTGGTTCTGCTTTGAAGGGTCGAAAGCTTTGCTTTTTGGGGGCCGTTTCCTCCCAACGCTCCCCGCCGCTGTATTCCAGAGAGAGAAAGACAGACAGAGACAGAGAGAGAGTGAGAGTGAGTGTGTGTGTGTGTGTGGTGGGGGCCTTGCAAAGCGGCCGGATCGGGCTGGACGCTTCGCCTCCAGGCCTGGAGATCGCCTGCGGCGCCCTGCTCCGCGCAGCCACAGCTGCGGGGCTGGCAGGTGCGGTGCGGGCCAGCAGCCGGCAGCATCTTGATTAGGGGAGCTGGCACGTGATGGGCCCCGGTGGGTTTGGATTTTTAAGCGACTCAACCACTTAGGGAAAAAATGCCACTGTCCCCGAGGCAGTCTTGACAGTCTGCTCATCTCAGCTTCCATCTTCCTTCCCCTCTTTCCCACTGTTTCCTCTCCCCTCCAGCAACCTGGGAGGGGGCCTCAGTGGGAGAGGCGGAGACCCGCGTCCGTTTGTTTTGAAATCCAGACCACCGCCTACCTGGTATTGGGGGAAGCGGTGGGAGGGGAAACTGCTTTAGGATGCTGATCAGGCGTTCCGGTCTGGCCTATTGTCTTGCCTTTTCTCCACCCCTTAACAAAAAAAAAAAAAAAAAACCCCAGCCCACACCCTATCGAATTCTTTAAAAATTGTCATTTATCTGTGACACATGATTATTACCCATCTGTTTCTTTACACCCACTCCCTCCTCTTGCAGTTTGTCGTCTAAGCTTTAAAGGACTTAAATGAGGCTTATAAATAAAAGAAATAAAATCTCAGTTTCACAAATGGGCATACTGTGCTTTCTGCTTAACCCCAAAGGAGGGATTGATTGTCTTCCTCCTGGGAGCAAATGGCCTGGAGAGGGTGGACTCAATTTGCTTCACGTCTAGTTCTTGGGTCCAATTAGGCTGCACGAAATGATTAACTCGTGCAAGTAAGGGATATTCTAATTAATGGGATTTGACAATTATGTTTTCTTTTAAGGGAAAAATAGATGATCAACATTTGAAGTGAAAGCACTTTCAATGAGCATGACCAGAGAGGACTGTTGTAAAATTCCAGACTTATGAGTAACTCCTTCCACTAGCATATGCATAGTATAATGTTAGAGATTTTAAAAAGGCAGACGATAATATTTTTACTTTATAATGTTCTACTGTCATTCTGTAAAATCAGACTTTTCGTAATGCTCTTGATCAGAATCCTGCCTAGCTCCCCCAGTCTCTGCCCCAAATTGGACACACATAAAAGCAAACTGTTTCATTATTAATACGATGTCAATACATTTAGGAAATCCGCTAATGATAAAAATCATTCTTTGGTCCAAAACCCATAACCTATTTGTAGCAAGGCCCATGCTCTTCCTTGTATACTAAATTGCCCCACCCTATTAGAAAGGTGCTTATCATGTACACAATATACACAAATGCCTGAAAGGACACATTTCTAGGCTTGGATTGAATTTGCTTTAAATATTAGTATAATGCTAGAATTAGCAAATCTCCCTTAAGAATTCACAGATGATCAAATGTTTTTATTGGCAGAGGATTTAGTGTTAAGATTTAAAAATACATAAGAGTTTGATATATTTGTTTATCACCTACCTTGTTCTACAAGAAATTTAAGACAGTTTACAGGGATTCATGAAACGTAGGCAGGCAGCCTAATTTAGAAACAGATGGGAAAGAAGAAACTAAAGGCCAAGACATAAAATGGTATTAAGAAAGAAACACAAACAAAAGCACAACCTCCTGGAGACTTGCTGTGAGTGGGGAGGCAAATCCAGCTCTAAACTTTCCAGCAGCTCATGCAAAAAGGGAAACTGACCACTCCATGATTCCTATGTCTTATTTATTTGGTGACCCATTCACTCAATTACTCACTCAACATTTAGTGAGATCCTACTATGTGCCAGGTTCTGTGAGAGGTACTGGGAAAAAGGGGTGAAGCAGACAGACGTGATCTCCGCTTTACGGCACTGACAGATGAATTCATCAAGAAATCTCTCAAATGAATATGTTATTACAAATTGAGGGTAGCATAGTGCCTAAGGCACTTGACTGCTAACCAGAAGGCTGGCAGTTCAAACCCACCAGCCCTCCTCGGAAGGAAGGTCGGGCAATCTACTTCCTTAGTGATACTTCCTTGGAAAGCCAAGGAGGGGTCGCTATGAGTCGGGTCTGTCAATGGCACATAACAACCGCAGCAGCAGCTGTGCAGGAAAAACACACAACCCAAAACGTAACAGTTCCAGAACATAAAAACAAAATGACTTCATGAGAATCATAACCGTTCTTGATTCTAAGAAAGGAACTTTATCCAAACATGACATAGTATCTTGAATAATGTCTTCAATAATTTGTCAGACACAAAGATGAGTTTCATAAGACTGTTTATTTTATTTTTTTATTGTGATTTGGGTGAAGGTTTACAGATCAAATTCACTTTCCATACAGTGGTTCACATATACTTTGTCTCATGACATTGACCACAGTTTACCACAATGCAACAGCTCCCCTCCCACTTCCTCCCCATAGTTACCTCTTC